GTCGCCTCCCGAAGTCCCCACCTCGGCGTCCGAAGGAGCAACGTCCTCTCTGACCCCGACTTCCTCAGCAACTCCCTCTACCTCTCCCTCTGAAGCCCGATCCGGGTCTTCCTCCAAGTTCTGCTCGACCTCTAGCCTCGCCGCCTGATCAAAGAGCTCTGACCACTGCGAAGGCTCGAAAGGTTGAGGGAGCTGTGAGAACTTCTTATACCCGGGGGTATAGTGCAGCAAATTATGGGCAGCTCGGCCAAAACCGTCGGCACCCGTGAAACTCCAAACCGTTGTTAAGTCGCCAAAATTGACCAGCGACCGAGGGGGTGGAGCTGTTTCCCGAGAAGGAATACCTGCACAACAAAAAAGATTGTCATAAACATGAGAAGTCCCAAGAAACGAATAAAAATACCCAAAGGAACCGACGTACTTGTCGTTCTCCATTCCCGAGGGCAAAACAGGTCATTGTACTCGGAACCGACACCCCTCTCCCAACATCCCTTGAAGATCAAGATGTCGTCCTTGTACCCCTTGTCCGAGTCAGGAAGGTGGGTTACAAGGTACATAGAGGGGTCCCTGGCTTTGAGGTAGAAATGTTGGTGGGGCATGACTCTTAGGAGAGAGTAACAGAAAAGGAGGTCGTTGAGCCCAATATTCACCCCGAGGCGCCTATTGAGCTCAAGGACCCCCATAATTATCCGAAAGACGTTGAGGCAGCATTGCCCGGGGAAGAGACGGAAGCGAGACAGGAACTGAAGAAGCAGGGGGGGTAAAGGAAACCTAATGCCACCCTCTATGATGGCCTTGGTATAGAAAGGCATGGCATCCGTGGCCCCGAAGGTAGGAGAGTACAACAAAGGGTTAAAATCCACTACGTCCACGCTCGGAGGGATGCCATACTTCGCCCTAAACCTATTGATCTGTGCCTCGCCCGTCACCTTGTATTTCCCTGACCCCGAGGGACCAGCCGATGGATTCTCGGGAACAGGGCGACGACGAGGCATCTCTAAAAAGAAAGGGGAGGAAAAGGTGCTCTGTTGAAAACCCGAGGAAGTTCCCCGAGGGTTTAAATCGAGACGTACCGACCGGATGACCACTGTTCAGTCGGAAAACAAGAAGGCTAGGGGACGATAAAGAAGAAGGTTGCGAAACTCACCAGAAGATGTCGAAAACGGAGTTTTTCAGGAAAAACTTTGAAAATAACTCGCACCGGAAGGATCAGGAGTCAACAATGGGTTTTACTGACTGAGGTTTTAAGAGAAGATGCTGTCGACAATGGCTGAGGAAAACAAAAACTCCGGCGAGCAGATCAGAAAAGGCGTATTCTGGGTCAGAGATCGGAATGGCAAAATGATACAAACCGGAGAAGAACCCCCTTTATATAGGGGGGAAACTGTCATCATTGGGCGGGAGAACCAAAAACAGCGCATTTAATGCGCACGACATCCCAAGACGGGGAAAGCTGCTCGAGGCCATAATGAAGGACGGATGGCAGTTGGAAAACCCTTCGTCTCCTTACAACGCGTGTCCTCGGTGTCAGAAGATCGAAGGCTGGGGGGCAGTTGATGGGACTCTTCTGAAAAGCCCTAAGATGATGACACGTGTCGGGATATTTTGGAACAGTGTTGCCCGGATGTAGCACCATCGGCGAAGAGCGCCCTTTACCCCCGAGGTACCTCTCATAGGATCACACATTCGGTATATTATACAAAACAACACGTGTCCTCGGTCAGACGTGTACCTCGGGGACACACACCCTTGGTCCCCGAGGTGAGCCTTTCCTCGGCGCCGAGGGTCACTCCATCCTGGACGCTTCCTCTACTCCCGGATAAAGCTACTGACATACTGGACATCAGCCTATGCCAGTATGGATTATTCATCATGACCTCCTCTTACACAAGTAATGTCAGAACGTGCTGGAATACCGGCGTAACAGCCAATAAGGGATGGACGCGTGGCAAATAATGTCACATCCGAAGCAGACAAACCGCATGCCGCTGCTGACACGCGACTTGGGAAAGCAAACAATTAATTGCACCCTTCTGTTGACGAGACCGCATTCAATGCGGTAAGGTTCGGATATGAAAGGCAATAAATGCTCCTATTACAGAGCATTTATTGCATCCTTCCGACAGGAGCATATTGTACCGTCGGCGTCCCGACAGACTCAGCATTGATTGTTCGGGACCCCGAGCAATCAATTAGAGAAGACATTCCTCATCAAATGATTACACACGCTACCTGTGCCTGATGATTACCTACTGACCACACTGACAGCAATCATGATCTTCTAAGGTATAAATACCCCTCCCAAAAAACAAAGCGGGTATGCAATCACAAACTCTCTACTACAGAATATCCTTCTCAGTGTTTTTTCCTTCCTCTCTCTCATTCAAAGACTGACTAGACCGCCGGAGGGGATACGCCGGAAAACACTCCGGCGCCCTTCTAACTTGTTCTCTTTTGTCCCAGGAAATACCTTTCGCACGTACAGGATCGTTCCTCCTTTCCCAGGATCGTAAGCTGTTTCGAGCAGTGTGCTTGGCCACTCAATCGGCTCACCCAGAGTTCACCAGGGGAGAGATCTGTTCCCAATATTTTATATATATCGTGCAGGATCAAGCCCGCACAATTAATGAGACTCACTTATTTAATTATAAAATATCATATTATATTATTTAAGATAAAAATTTAATAAGTATAACATTACTCATCTCTTACGCATCACTAACATTGTCCCTACAAAGTATAAACAGTTGAGATCATTTAAATATTGGATAAAATTATATTGTTCAAATTTGTTTATCAAATCTTGTGTCCAAAATGATGTATAAAATCTTATGCATTGAATATTTAGTGAAATTTGTGGATCCCACTAATCTAACCACTCACACTGATTTGGAATACAAAAGTTAATAAATAATTTGATAAAGCATAACATTGCTCATAAATATTTTAATTAATTTGAGATATATAATTTGGTAAATAATTTGATAAGCATAGCATTGTTTATAAATATTTTCGTAAAGGACTTAACTACGGTATGAAAGAAAAAATTTTGGTTCCGTACATCTAAATTTTACTACTTTAATAGATATTTTTTATAATTTTTGTGGATCATTTTATAATAAAAAAATATTATTTTTGTGAATAATTTTTCACATTTATGAATATTTTTATTACTGTTTTAAATATTTTATCACTGTTGTGATAACTATTTTTACAACTTTTCTATAATATACAAAAAAAATTTATCACATTTGTGAGTAATTTATCACATTAATTTTGTGAATGTTTTTATCATTATTTTGATAATTATTTTTATATTTTTTTAATATTATAATGATTTTAAAAATATTCGTAAATATAATAAAAATCGATATAATATTGAAATTTTACTTTTCGGTATCATGGACAAATCCTTTTGTAGTGTAGGAAAGTGTTCTATTTCGGAAATTCTTGATAATGATTATTGGTGAGGTAACAGTGAGGCTTTGGTCACATGTTGAAATTGTGTTGGGTTTAAGAAGAGGTCCTAACTTTTCTTGCTTTCGTTGAACGACAGTTCATGTCCTTTGCGTGTTTGGTCATATCATGTCACGCCGCTGAACCATAACTGTCTTTTTCGGACGGAATATCTCCTAGGCTCAGAGGATAAGGTGATGATATCAAGTCGGTACCACACTTAAATTTAAATAATTTATTTATAATTAATCATTAAAAATAATTTTAATTTCAAAAATAATTATATATAAAAAATTTCCACATAACGTATTTTTTTAAAAAGTAATACTACTACAAAATCCAAAACATTACAACCAAAATTTATACGATCTTTTGAATGAATGAGTCTATCGAGATTTGAATCCAAATTTCTAAATTTTTTCTTTTTTAACGTGGCTTAAGAGCTTGAACTTCTTTGTTATATTTTTCTTTGATCTTTAATCGTTGTTATAGAGCTTCTCCGTTATGTTTTTCTTTGATATTTAATCTTTATAAGTCATTTTGAACATTATTTTTTTTAGTTCAACGGTCAGGAGTGTTCGAATTAATTTACGTACATCTCGACTAATTTTCTCTCGATTAATTTCCTCCCTGATCTGGTAAAAACAGATCATTTACGTAAAAATTAAAATATTTTAATAAGAGATAAATTTCTCATATATCCTGATCTAAAAGAATTATCAAAATTTAAACTTAAAATATCTAAATTTAAATATCTTTCCTATTAGCACTTGATCTACTCGTTGAGGTTAGATATCACTACAATTTGAAATCTCTCGAGGCCAACTTAATGAATGGCCCATCGAAGAAAAAAGAGTTTCAAGTTGGACCCTTATAAGAACAGTTAAGTTTATGCGTGCGTTATATGTGATTTGTAAATAATTAAAAGTATCATAATTTAAACAAACTTTTTTCAGTCAAAGAACCTGTCCCAAATAAAGACGTACATGTACTAGAGATTCAGAGAGGGCAGTGACAACTCATGTACTTTAATTTGTTGTTTTATATTTGATTGGTATATTAATCAGTACTACTGATGTAGCAGAAGTGCATATAAATGCATGCACATAGAGATGATGTATAGTTTCTACAGTGTCTAGAGAGTAGAGTGGTCCTACTAGAGTACTAATTCTGCATTTCCTAATGCAGCTAGGCTATTTCACAAACAGACCGGATGAAAACTGAACAATATAAACCTATTAATTTCTTTTGGTATGCTAACAATACACCTTAGTTACTTTCAAACAAAAAAAGTACATCCTAGTCATCATCCAAGCTCACAACAACATTAAGCCAACCATCGGCCTGCCACTGAAGTAATAATGATCATATCAAGTCGGGATATGTTTATATTATCGAAAAATAAATTTTTGATATAATTTTAAAAAAAATATTTAAAAATAAACTATATTTAAAAAATTTCAATATGTTTGTTAAACCCATCAATTAAAGAAACCTATGGTTGAGATGAGACGATTCATTGTCAAGATATTTCCCGATGCATACCCTTCAACCATTGAACTTGAAATATATCTGACAAGAAGCTTAATGTGAACATCAGGACTGTACAGTTCACATTTCACAATCAAATTCCAAACCATATTAGCTATTACAGTACACAGTTGATCATTATGAACCTTGGACAGACCACTTAATCACCTTTGTTTATCTTTCCATTTCTTCACCCCTTAAATTTGAAACATAAGGCACAAAACTCAATGTCTCACAACCTTAAAGTTCCCAAGTATACAAATGCTTCTCCTCGAGGCTGAACAGTATAAGCCACTGCTCACTGGGATCAATCGCGCAAGTAAGGCTATTACCGCCTTCAAAGTCCATAACAGGTTGATCTCAATGTTTGAAGCAACACTGCACGAGCTAGTGAACACTTTTGGAGCTGAATAATCTGTTTACCCTCCTCTCATGCAGTAGCCTGAAAAACAAATTCAAATTCCTTCATGGTTATTGTCATCGATAGCCCAACACATATTTATCTGCACCTTGACAAAATCACACATAACCATATAGAGATGTATTTTCCTTGAATTTCAGTTTCCTAACCGAATCAAGTTCTGCCGTGAGCACAATTTATGTACCCCCGTTCATCAGGTGGACATGTGTCTCAATCAAACAAAGAAAAATAATTGAATGGAGCATATTATTCACATTTACAAGAGAAGAAAGTGATCATGTTTTTGCTATTCTAAAAGTCAATTCCCCTGACAACAGTCAGATTTCTAATGCTTGTTCATCTAATGCAACTAAGTGCTCAAGAAAAATGACTGCAACAAGATAAATTAAGTTCTTCATTCAGCAAAATCTACATGAATGAAGGACAACTTTACATCTAGGTACTGGTTTTCTCTCTCTCCATTTCCCATTCTTTTTCTAGAAGAGCATTCTCCAAGTTTAGTTACAAGAAACCACATTAAATGCCCACAAATATGAACCCACCTGCCTAAACAATTTACAGAATGTCATGAACTATAGAAGTTTTACAGACTTACTTCTGCGATGTATTGTCGGTTTTGTAAAATATAATTTGCAGCAAAGTTCTTGATAACCATATTCCGTCAGCCCTTTATTGAATAAGTTCTTCAAAACTTGCTCTAACAGATGAAAGCATCGCCCGAATCCTGAAGGTCTCTGAGTATGTCAGGGAGGAGTTGAGTCCAAATTGGCTACAGAAATCTGGTTTGAAAGTAACGATGATGCACTAATTTCAGTTCTCCGCCTGAGAATATGGCAGTTTGGGAGACTAAATGAGAAGCTCTGATAAGTAAATGTTGCCAAAGCAAACCTATTAATATGTTGAGTGACTCTGGCGGTCATCACCAGCCAATTCCTTGTGATCCCAATATTTCACCTCAATATTTGACTGTCATCAGCAATCTCCAAAAAATTTTAACAATATTACTAATTATCACCAGAAATCTCCGCAAGAACAGACTCCACTACGAAAATGATGAAATCTATTGGCATCTCTCACAATAATTTCGCGTTCAAAGAATTTTGAAACCAGCTTGCTAAAAGTATGGCAATCACCACAAACACGAAGGTTCTTTGTGATCCGAATTGGGGTTCCCTCGGATGTCGCAAGTAGGCCGTATGCAATAGCCAGCCTTTCACTGTGGCCATAAAGCATCTTGACTTTCTCTTTTTCAGCTACATTGTGCAAAACATACTTAGTTTGAGCCACGTAGCCTCCCTCCCTCTCCAATTGCTCAGTAATCTGAACTAACTTTTTGTATATCTCATCACATTGGGGATGAGACCTGTCCCTTGCAATGAAAGTATGAATTTTGTCACCAACCTCAATCCAACTACAGGCAGGATCCTTCCTCAACCCTTTCCCCTTCATCCTAGTTCTCACTTCTTCGACATCTTCCCATCTACCTGTTGCAGCAAATACATTAGATACCAGTACATAATTTCCCGGATTCTCTGGATCCAATTCTAGAAGCTTCTGTATAGCAAATTCTCCTAATTCTTTGTTAGAATGAACCCGACAACCACTGAGGAGAGAGCACCAGACAGCTGCAGAAGCTTCTGTTTCAATGCTTTTCACCAACTCAAAAGCCTCTTCCAAGTGATTTGCCCGACCAAGCAGATCAACCAGACAGGCATAATGTTCTGGCCATGGCTCCAACTTATATTCATTCTTCATTATCTCAAAAACTCTTCTGCCTTCATCAACCAGTGCTGAATGGCTACATGCATAAAGAAGTGCCAAGAAAGTAATATGATCAGGACGAACATTTTCACCCACCATCTGTCTAAATATATCTAGGGCTGCATTACCATGGCCGTGCCTTCCACATGCATTTATCATGCTAGTCCATAAAACTAAGTCTTTGTCTCCAACATAATTAAATATCATATATGAGTTCTCTATTGTTCCACAAGAGGCATACATATCCACTAGAGAACTTGCAATGGGACACTCTAGAATGAAGCCCTTTCTAACCAAGAACCCATGAATCTCTTTGCCTTTCCTTAAGGCAGATAGATCTGCGGCAGCAGAGAGTGCACTCACTAAAGCAACAGAATCAGGTTCAACAGCTGTTTCTGTCATAGAGATGAAAAGGTCAAGAGCCTCATTTGCAAGTCCATTATGGACATAACAAGACATCATGCTTGTCCAAGACACAACATCTTTAAATTCAATAGATTCAAATACATGAGATGCATAACCTACATTTTCACATTCTCCATAAACATCAACAATTGAATTTTGTAAGACACGATCATATACACCTCTTCTCAAAGCATGACCATGAATCTCTTTTACAAGTGAGATGCACTTCAACCCGCTACTAGCCAGCAGGGCACTTCCAATCATTGTTGCATCAACATCCAGGCCTCTGACCAGTACCTGCCGGAACAATTGTAAGGCCCTTAAATGACAATCGTTCTGAGCATGGCCCATGATAATTGTCGTCCAAGAAATGAAGTCTTTATAATGCATCCTATCAAAAACAGAGTCCATATAGTTCATTTTACAACACTTTGCATACATATATATTAAAGTGTTTCCAACCTGCAAATCAGAGTCTAATCCATATTTTATAGCATAAGCATGTATTTCCTTTCCATTTAACAGATTTCCCAATCGACCAGAGGTAATGACCATACTTATGACTGTAACCTGGTCAGGGCTTTGACCTGCATAATGTATCTTATGGAAGAATTGCAGAGCATCATAAAAAAGACCATTTTGCACAAATCCTGATAGCATTGAGTTCCATGATATATTATCCCTCTCATCCATGCCATCAAATATTATTGCAGCTTCACCCATTTTACCACATCTTGCGTACATAACAACCAAAGCATTGGCCATGTGTAAGTCAAATCCGAGAGTGGATTTCAGAATAGCTGCATGAATCTCCATCCCAAGCTTACCAAGTGATGAATCCTCACAGGCTTCAAGAGCAGCAACAAAGGTATATGTGCTCGGGGGAATACCAGCCTTTTGCATTTCTGTGAAAAACCTCAAAGCTTCTATGGCCTTCCCATTTGCAGCATAAGCAGATATAATTGAATTCCATGATACAACATCTTCTCTTTCGTTCACTCTATTATGTGTAGCAACGTAGCCGCATTGAGATCATCACACTTCGAGTACATATCCATAAGCGAATTAACAACAATCACATTGGTTATAAACCCAAGTTTGATTGCTAGACCATGAATTTCACTCCCGCGAATAAGATCCTTGAGCCCACCACCACATGCCTTGAGAATGCAAGGAAAGGTGAATGCATCTAGCGAAACTCCTGAAAAACGCATTTCTTGATACAATTCCAGTGCTCCTAAAGGTTCCCCATTTGTCACATAAGCACCAATCATGGCATTCCACGTAAAAATAGTTCTGTCAAACATCCATCAAACACCTTCTCAGCATCCACTAAAGACGAGCATTTACCATACATAAACACAAGCTTAGTGTTCAAAAACAGTGAATCACACGTATTATTAGATTTCAAGATATGGGTATGGATTTGTTGGCCATGTGACAATGCTTTTTCACTTGCACAAAGCTCAAGAACCGATGAAAAAGCTTCATCTAAACAATCCTCAGTTGGGTTGTGGTTAACGAAGAGATGGCCAAGTGCTAAAAAGCTTCTTCGAGGTTTCCTTGTTTGCAAACACCTTTGAGAGAAGGGGTTTTGATAGGATTTCGAGGGAATTTTGAGATTTTGACAGGTGGGTTTTTCTGGGATTCCTTGAGAGTGGGTTGTGTCGTTAAGGAACTCAAGCAAAATTGCTGTATTGACGTAGCCATTTCCGTGTTGATGCATAGTCTGCGAAGCTTGTCTAGTGGCACTAAGCAGAGGGCGAAGACGATGGGGAGTGGATTATACAACGTTCCAGATTTAATTAATATAGTTTCTTAATAAATTGCACAACATGAATCCGTTGTCGTCCAGCGGTTAGGATATCTGGCTTTCACCCAGGAGACCCGGGTTCGATTCCCGGCAACGGAACTCTTTTTTTCCCTCGAAAAACGTTTTCCCACAAGTCCTTATTTTTTTTTTTAAAAAATTTCAATTACACCCCTTCTAATTTATCATATTTTTAAAGACACCCCTATTATTTTAAGAATCTTCACTATCACACTATAGTAGATTAAAAGTGTTAATTAAAATATAATTTTACTAATTTATTAATGATATATTTTAGGAAAAATTTTATTCACACTCCCTCTAAATTGACATATCTTTAATCAGACTCTCTTTATTTTTTAAATATTTTTACAAATTAAAATTCGAACTAATTAAAATTTGATTCGAAATAATTAAAATTTATTTTTTTACACATTAAAATTTAAGTTAATTAAAAATTATATTTTATTGAATCAACTTGAACTAAATTTTAATTAACAAATTTTAATAAGTAAAAAAATATAAATTTTAATCGATTTGAAACAAATTTTAACTGACACTAACAACTTAAGAAGAACTCAAATCGGCTCGAATTTTAATGTAAAAAAAATTTAATAGGGCTTAAATTTTAATACATAAAAAAAATAAAATTTAATCAAATGGAATCGAATTTTAATCAACTCAAATTATAATATATAAAAAATAAATTTTAATCAGGTCGAATTGAATTTTATATTGAAAGATTATTGGGGATTATATAGGGGAAATTTTGGTATTTTAGCTGAATTTTTTTTTGTTAGAAATGGTGGTCTAATAACAAGGGTGTCAATGATGTTTAAATATAAATTAGAAGGAATATCAGTGATATTTTAAATAATAGAAAGGGTGTCCTTTTAGGTATGATAAACTAAAAGATTTGTGATTTAAAATTTTCTTTTACTTTTTTGTCCTTGTTTTTTAACATATCATTTTTATGTTTTTTTTTTCCTTTTTCTTTTCGGAGCACGCAACCCACCCTACGTCTCTCTAACTTATAATAGTATTTTTTTTTTGTATGGTGTTTAAGTTTTGTCGATTATTTTTTCAAACTTAACGGTTGGTCACTGTGATAATGATATCCCTAAAAGATAAGAATAACTAGTTCTTAGGGAGTATAAGAAAAAATTGAAACATAAATTTGTATGTTATTAAAAATCAGACTCAATCACTTCACCACCTCTAAGAATTATTGGACAAGTAGTTATCCGGTGAATTGGAGATCTTAATCCAATAACTCACACTGAGTTATCTAGAATGATCTATCCTTTTTATATTTTTTTATTTTACAGGTAATGCACCAGCAATTTTGAACGTGAAGTCCTTTTTTTTTCCTCGGTAAGTAAGATAAATTTTGAACGTGAAGTCGTGAACAACTTTAGGTATAAATTTTTGTGAAAATTGGAGTTGACTCTTTCTTAAGAAATTTATAATAAATTTAATACATCAAAAAAATTTATTTAGAGATAAGTCTATTTTTACTCTTACTAGTTTTAACCCCTCAATTTTGTTTAATGTTCTATGTTACTACTTTTTATAGTGAGCGTATTACTGTTTTTTGTTTATTCAATGTTCAATATTACTATATTTGTTAAATGTTCAATGTTACTATCTTTTTTGAATATTACTTTTTTTTTTTTCTGTTTTTGAATGTTATTATTTTACTGTTTGAATGCATCATTGTTCGTGTTGTTTGACCACCAATTTTGTTCAATGTTCTATGTTATTATTATTTTATTTATCATGATGCTATTTTTTTTTGTTATATATGTTATTTTTAAAATATTAATATTCAATGTTACTATATTTTGTTTTTAAAATGTTAGTATTTTTTGTGTTTGAATCTACTATTTTTTGTTTTGAATGTTACTATTTATATGTATGTGAGAGAGAGGGAGACAAAATATTCATAATCTATATATAGATATAAATTATGTTATAACCTTCTTGAAACCAAGGGTTCAAGTCCCCCTCCCTCTCAGAAAAAAAAAAAAAAGCTACAAATAAATTAAAAGTTACCCGTGCCTGAAGACACTATGTAAAAAAAAACAATAGCCCAAGCCACATCCAACTTGGTGTATATCACAATTCTACACCACCTATAACACACTCAAATCAAAATAACTATTATATCAAACAAAATTTTAAAAGTTGGTATGTCCCAACTATTATTTTTAAAAAATGTCGTCATAATTTCTTTTGAAAATATGATCCCTAAACAATATTGACTTGTGTGTACAACTTATAGAATCAGATTTTTATGTAAATAAACATGACTTAACTCAATAATCTCATCGCATCACATTAGTAATGCTATTAACACTATTTATAATACAAATATAAAATGAATTAACATCAAACTTAAACTAAAAAGAATAAGTAAGCACCAGGTGAATTGAGCAGAATTGTGTAAAAGCAAAACTAAAGGGGGTATGGGTTTCTGCGACTTGAGAACTTTCAACTTAGCGATGCTAGCCAAACAAGCTTGGCGAATTCACTATAAAACCAATTCCCTTCTTCATAAAGTGTTGAAAACCAAATATTTTCCGAATGATTCGTTTATGACTGCTAAGCTCGGATATAGACCCTCATACTCATGGAGAAGCATTTGTGAAGCTAGGAGAGTTTTAGAAGCTGGATCTAGATGGAGGATTGGCGATGGGTCCAAAATTAAGGTTTGGCATGATAGGTGGATTCCTACCCCCCAACAACTTTTAAGGTTGTTACTCCTAAGAATACCCTGCATGACGAGGCCACAGTCAAGGATCTTATTGATTCAACAACTCAACAGTGGAAGGAAAGTTTGATCAATGAAGTTTTTCTAAGCCACGAAGCGGAGACGATCAAGCAAATTCTCTTGTGTTCCTCATTAATGGAAGATAAGCTCATATGGCATTATGATTCGAAAGGCAGATTTTCTGTCCGAAGTGCATATCATATCACATTTGATCAAAATCTGGCTCGCTCAACGAATCCTGAAGTTGCTTCTACATCCTCAGGTATCGAACATAATAACTGAAATTTCATTTGGAATCAAAAGTTACCAAATAAAATTAAAATTTTTGCTTGGAGAATGGCGACGAATACTCTCCCTACTAATGAAAATCTTATGCGAAGAAGGATCTGAATGGATGATATATTGTTGTGTTTATGGAAGGAAGCTGAAACTGTGATGCATAT